ATGGAGACACCTTCTTCTTCTGCACCTTTGCAGTTACTTCCATACATGCAGTGGTCAGGGCGGTAGTTCCACTGACATGGAAACACGTAGAGACACTCTGCCAGTGCCAGCCAGGGGATTGGGAAGAAAAAAAAAGAGGGGGAGAAAAAGGAAAAAAGGACATTAAAAGAGTTACAACTTAAGCCATGGTTCTGTGGAAAAGTTGGGACTGACGATCAGAAAAAATCAGTTACTTTTTTACAAAGATCCAAAGCAACGACTAGACACAGAAGCTTCCCTTCCTCAGAGGACGGCTACGCCTCCCTCAGCACTGCTGGACTGGAGCTGATCAGAAGAGAGGGGAGGGCAATGAAAAGGCTGGGTGCAAATATAAACCAAGAGTGTATTTACAAGGTTAGAAATGACAGAATCAAACCTAGAGAGTATGAGCTATGTGGCACTATTCAGGGTCTTCTGCCACAGGAGGAAGTTTCCAGAGTCACAGAAATGATGGGGGAAGCACACGGAGCACTGATGGGTGTGCAAAATCCTGAATCCTGCTGGAGATAGCAGGGGAAGCTTGCAAAGTATATCCAGTGTTTGCTGCTGAAGCTTTCATTGAGGGTATGGCACTTTGTTAAACTGAGACACAGCAGAGCACAAGAGGCACTGTATTTTATCCGTAGTCTTCCTAAGAGCTGTCATCCATTCATTTCAAAGGTGCGGATTATTTTAAAGATCAGCCTGATTTCTCAAAAGGGCTTCTAACCTCATTTCCCCTACTGATTTTTTTTGAGCTTTCTCCATACACCCACAGTATTTGTAACACGCTTATAATGAATCATGTCACTGCCTGTGACCTTTTTGCTACAGAAATGGAGCACAATGAATCATTCCACTACGCTGGCAGGTCGTGTCAGAAGTGCTGAAGATTGAAGTTTCCACTTGGCCTTTCCTAGCTTCCCAAGAAATGTGCAGCAGCTCCTGTGTGATTCTTGAGGAAGTGAGAGAAAATGTTTTTGAAACAGCTCTTCCCTAAGGGCATCTCTAGCAGGATACTGCTCAAGAGAGGGTAGATGGTAAATGGTCTCCATTCAGTCTGACCTACCACACATCCAAAATCCCTCCCTGGTGTTGCTGGAAGGACAGGGAGGGCTGCAACTCCCCAATCCAAACTCTGATCCAGTTAACGGGGACTTTCCAGGAAGCCTGAGCAGACGTTTGCAAGCACAACTGCTCAGCAGGCCACTACGGGGAGAGGATGTCATCAGGTGCTTATCAGCTTCTGTACGTGTTACCTGAGTGTTCTCCATCTTCTTCTCACCATGAAACTTTCGCACATTTTTTGCTCTCACAGCTGGGCTTGACCTCCAGCTGCTCTGTGAGCCTTCAGATACATCAATCATCTGAACAGCCTTGGGAGAAAGGAAGAAGGGGGCATCCTTCCAGGCCCCAGGTAGCACAGTTCTGTGCAGTTTGAAGCCAATGCATCTATAAAAAGCCATCTGCAGCAGTCTCGACTGATTCTTTCCTAGGTCAGTTTCATCAGTCCAGCAGTTTAAAAACTTGGGAAAGTCTGGTTTGCTGTTTGAGTTGTATCCAATTATTTTGTTTTCTTTTTCTTGTGCAGTCTGATGTTACTTGATTGGGGAAAAAAAATATTTACCAGTTACAAGGAAAAGGCAGATTATGGTGCAGAACAGAGTCTCAACATATGGATTTGATGGAGAACACTCACTGGGCTTTTTTTTTTTTCTCCTCTCCATGCTTAAATTAGCAACTTCAGTTTGACTTTATGACCAATCCAGATTCATCTTTCTCCAGAAGACCCTATTCTCATAATATTTATGTCTTTTTGGAAATTAATTTATAATTTCATTATGAAGATTTCTTCCACTTTATATTCCCCCAGGACTGAGTCTAATGCGCAGTGTACCAAGGACGCTGATGTTTGACATCTGTCTGCAATAAACAGATGTTAACTTCCTGCTTTGCTTTTGCTCTCCCGTATTTTTGGCTGGATTTGAGTACATCCAGTTACCTCCACTACGACTCCTCAGAGTAAAAGGAAAGGGGACAGAATAAAGATAAATCCAAACTTGTTTTGTTTTCAAGCTCACTTGAGGGAATACAAGGTCACATAGGAAATGAGGAAAAGCAAATAAGGACGGATGCTTAGCACATTCCCAAGTGTGAAATAAGGTTCTCAGCTTCTTTGGAAAGCACCTACTATGCTGCAATTTTGAAATCCTTGCATTTCTTACATGTTACTGTTTTTGGAAGAGCTTGAAGTTACTTCTGTGTGATCTTCAAGGGAGCTGAACTTCCAGAAACTGCCTCAGCATTTGTGGAAAAAAGACACGCCCTTTTGAAACGAAGAAGCTTTCAGCTGCCAGTTCCTTGGAAATGCACACTCATGCAAGTAAGACTGAAAATCAGGAGGACAGGAAGGAGAAGCCAGAAATGTTGCAAATTGTTTATGGAGACATTGTGCAAGAGTGACAGACAGGAATCTGATATATTATTTTGCTGTTTACAAATATATACAGATTGGTCGTGCTAACCCTCTGTTGGAGCCGTGCAATCCCTTGGATGGGTGGGGTATGCCATGATAACATCTTGAGACATAGGAGGTCCTCTAGAGCTCTTCATAGCACCAGAGCAAGCAGAATGTAGGAAGAGTAGAAAACATACAACTAAACAGCAGAATATAAATGACACCATTCTGCTGCTTGCTGAGGATGAGTCATTCAGGTGAGAGGATAGCCGCACATTTCTCAAAACGTAACTTGCAGTGAAGGAGGGCAGCAGGCTTTAAAGGAGGTATTTCAGTGGCTGTTTCTGTTTTCTGTTTATAGTAACACAGTTATTTGCATAAGTGTCAGAATTCAGCTGGATTTCAGAAAAATAGACCATAATTTTGGAGAATGTTTGGCAACCTTGTGCTCAGATAAACATCTGAAACAAAAGTATTTTCCAGCTAGGCCCTGGTCCAGTGAAGCTCTTAAGCACATATGCAACTTAAACTTTGTCTGCATTCGATCATGAAACTAACATTATACTTATTTTCTCACAATCTCCAGAAGACATATTTACATATTCATTAGAGCCAAGTATGAGCCTCATTACCCGCACCACTTTCAGAAGTATTTTTATAGGTGGCAAATCCTACGTGTGCGTACACATGATCTTCATGCAAGAGTACACTATGCTATCAAAAGTAACAAACAGCTTTTTTTTTTAATTTAGTGAAGTCAGTAAGTTTTCTTAGCACAGATAATCATGACTCCAAGAATCCCTACTTACCTGGGTTAAAGTAAAAAATAATATTTAGTAGATCCTGGTCTCCCCATGTAATGTAATTTTTGTACTTTTGGTATAATGGATACAGCATTTCCTCCCAGGTCAAACCGCCTGGTATCATGCTGTTCTGCAGGAAGAAAAACAGAAGCAATGGGTTAATCCCGGGTACAGTGATGTGATGTATGACTCAGAGCATAGCACCCACATATTCCTACGTCTGCTAAGCCATGTCAGATACCTAGAAAAATGAAGAACTGCTAGGAAACATTGACCCGGATAGGGTTGGAAGAGCGGAGCTGACTGTGCTGTTAATCTAACTGAACGGGAAAGCAAGGTCTCCTGGGTGTCGCTCTGATGTCAGCTCCTGCTATTGAGAATCTTCCTATTCTGAGCAACAGGAGGGAGAAAATGTGGAAAAATGTAAAAATGCAGGGACAAGGTGAAAATTGAGGTATAGAAGTGAGGAAAACGCAAACTGAAAACGATCTTCCCTTCCCAGGGATTCTGATATAAAAAGGAAGTTTGTTTATTTTCTTAATCAAGCTGTTCTTGTATGAGTAACCCCTGGCCCTGACTGAAGAACAAGACCACTCAGGGGGTAAATAAAGTTTTTAAAGAGATTACAGAATACATGCTCAACAGAGCAAACAAAATTTAACGTGTCAGGCCTTTCACAAAATTGGAAAGATGTCAGTTTAAAGAGGGAAAACATTCCCTTCTCGTTTATATCGATTCACAGAATCACTTCATCTGCAGCAGGGTACAAAATTTTATTTACAGCAGATGCAAAGAATTACAAATTTATCTGGATATTTACTTCAAGCTTCTCAATTTTAAAACAACATTGTGACCACACTGAAGGTCCTTGAATTTCTCCTTTTATGTACCTGCGAAAGGAGAGTGTGAACTGTTGAAGATGACATTTTCTCTACTAGCAGACTGCTTCATCTGCAAGTTCTCAGTGCTCCAGCCTCATGAGGATATTTCACTTGTTTTAGTGATCATTTTCACAATAATTGGTTTAGTATCCACCGTATGCATTCTATACTTTTGAGATTCTTTATAAAATAAGCTTTATATAATTCTCAACATAACTCTGTTTCACTAAAAGATGTGAAAAACACATAAATCGCTATTTTCTGCAACAGCTGCATTTCTTCTCACCTTGAACTGAGTGTTGCGTATCCGTGTTAAATTCATTAGCATCACTCCGGAATTGACTCCAGTTGTCCCGTAATACGGGTGACGCGCAAATCGACTGTACCAGCCAATCTTTGGTATTTCATGTTCTGGGGCCATAGCAGCTAGCTGGGTTGAGTTAAATTCTTTCAGGATGTGCCAGATGTCATCGATGGGCCTCAGGAAGAGAACATCAGTGTCCACATACAGGAGTGAATCCACATCCTTTAAAATAACCTTTTGGGTTTGCACAGCGAGGAGAGGAAGAAAGGAAGCAAACAGACAATAAAAAGGAAGATTATTGACGAAAGGTCAATACTTTAAGCTGATCATTTAAAAGAGCTGATTTATCAGCTAAGTGCAATTACATACAGGAACAGCAGTTATAACTTGTTTGTTTATTTCAACTGCAAAGCAGAAGAGCTACCAGACCACAAACGCTGGATTCTAACCTTCATATCCAACAACAATCCACTTACCTCTCAAAAATATCTGCAAGGCCTACTTACTATCAGTTCAGAAATGAAATGCAAAGAACATATATTTACATAATTTTATTAGCTCTTTTAACAAACTGTGCTATGCTTGTACAAAAAAATACAACCTACAAATACATTAACCAGTTTTAGAAAACATGTCATTTTTGCACACTGTATGACAAGGATTCTGAAAGGATTAGTATTGAAAATTATATACCATACAGCATAATATACATCTGCTACTCTGTATGTATATAGAAGATGCTTTCAGAATCAGTCACAAAGCCTAATTTGGATCGTTATCATGCAGTCAGATTGACTACCACAGACCTTGATGAAACATACAAGCTTCCACCATAGACAACTCATGTAAAAGAAAGCTTTTTATCTCCATTTCGGATTATGTTTTTCCTATTACAACCTTGTGTTCCTACACAAGGAGACTTACATTCAATATTAGTACGTAAAAATGTTTTACATTAAGAAAACTACTAATCACAAAAATGTATACACATCCTCCTGAAGAACAAAAAATTGCTTGGTGAATAGAAATGTCCTCTTAAGTCTTATCAGGTCACATTCTGACCTTTGTTATCAGACTCTACATCAGGAATAAGCACAGTACAGTTACTCAGGTCACAAGGGTGCAAATTGTAAATTAGATCCAGGATATTTAATCTATTCCCGTTGACAATGTTCCCCCTTGTGGCTGTCCAAGTGCTTACACGCTCATTCATTAATTTTTGTAGGGCAAATTATATAGTGCTTCAACAGCCTGAGAGAACTCCCTTGCTGTTTGCAGCAGCTCTTTGTAATGCTGTTTGTTAGGTAGGAAATACCATTAGCTAAGGTTCACCATCAGGTCCAATTGAATTTTTGTTGCTCTTCTTCATTAGTTGCTAAAACTGTCCAAGGATTCCTGAAGGACTGAAATTTTCTTACTATGGTCTCAGCCAAAAAGGCCACTTCTCTCCCTCTCTTTACTCGAAAGGCACATCCAAAGGGCTGATTTACAGCAGGCTGTGGCATGGAACCACCAGTCACTCATCCAACTGCAATGATACTAATGTCAAATCCTCCTATTTATGCAGGTGACTTAATACTACCAAAGAAATTTAATTTTACCTGAATTGAAATGTATCATGATTAAAGATTACTTGGGAAAGACAGACGAAACGACAGAACTTTGAGCAAGTGAAAAAAAAAATACTTTTAAGTATGCTCAGCAGGCATCCATTAAGATGCCAAACGTGCGAGTACAGATTTGAGTGAGATTTTTCACCTGACTGCACACTTTGGGACTCCGACGGACAGTTAGCCAAGTTTAACAAATTCCTGACATAACTCCATGTTCTTCCCACATAGCAGGACGAGCAGGAGAAGGCAAATGTCTGTACATCTGCTTACAAGAAACTGCACATAAACAAGTCCAACAGGCAGAGCACTCTGCTGCATGGAAGGCTGTAGCAATACCACCAGGACTTCTTTTTCCACATGAAACTGCAGGGGAAGGTACCGACAATAGATGACACCAGTAGTCCAGTAACACTACAGAGCTCAAGTCCAATACTATTAAAAAAAAAAAAAAAAAGGATAAAAACCCAAAAAGATAGCTACTTTAAGCATGAATCAACAGAAGACAGGTAGTTGAAAAGATGAAAAAGATGTTTAGCTTAAGGATATTCTGGGTATTGAATGCTATTCTGTAGCAGTGCCATGCCCTGATTCATAGGGACCCTCTATGTGAATTCATAGAAAGATGAAAACACTAAAAATAACAATTTCCTCCAAATTTAGTGTGAGACAGGTGATAACATTCAAATATGAAGAGCATGATAAGAAGCTATTTGCCTGATGAACCCATAGCACACTGCAGACCAAACCAGGATGCTTTTTGCTGTTGTTTTTTGTTTGTTTGGTTTTGTTTTTAGTATATATAATATACATATAATTATTTAATATATATACACACACAGTGTCATGGTGGAGAGACAAGTTTAGGCATTTCCTAGCAGAGGGTTAAGGGGGGCGTTTAATGGGTGCACGTAGGAACTCCTCTCAAGCATAACTGACAGTGTCAGCACTGCCTCTGCCAGCAGAAAATATTCTTTCAGTAACTGCAAACACACACAGAAATTTAAGCCTGGGGAAGGCTTAAACGGACTGTAATAATTTTCCAATATATAAACGGATTCAAGCAAGTATTCCAGTTCCCTGTCAAGCCTGGTGCCTACAGGCATTCGTCCCCATGCCTTCCACCCTGTCTTCCTCCACTTAGATTCACATGCTTTTCTTTCCTGGTCTGTCAAAAGATTGCTGCCTCCCTGCTGCCCTGCAGGGACACCCAACAGGCTGAAAGAAAAGCTGCTCTCCTCTGTCTAAACCCTTCACACTTTCCTCTTTCACATGTGAAGTGTTAAGACTTATTTAAAACCTACACATGTCAGCCTGAATTGATCACATCCCTGTCTGGCTGTGCCTTGGGTAGAGGAATTTAATTTCAGAAATCATGTCAGTAGAGTTCCTTGCATAGCTCTCAGGATTTCAGTGAAGCTACACAGGGAATAAAACTTCATTTAAATAACTCTGGCATTCCCAATGTCCCATAGGTTCCAGGCAGCTCTGTATCCAAGCTTAAAAGAATTTTCAGAAAAATATGTTGTGCTTTTCACAGACCTTAAAACAATATTTAGCCTTTATTTATTCAAAAGCAAAGCAGAGGACAACACATGTTTTTGACTGCTGCTTTTCAACGTCAAAAGCAGGTGAGCAGCAGGAGGCAGGCAGCGGTAGGAGACCTTGCTCCAGCTGGCTCTGCCAAAGCAGAGCGGCACTGAGCCTGCTAGGGGCTCATGGGGGGACACACTGGAGGAGATGCACATCCGACCTGCAGCATAAGCAGCACAAGATTGTGTCTGGTGCTCTGAGTTTATGCTTGCTAGCATGAACCATGTAGACATACCTGACAGACTGTGATTTTTGAAACGAATGGTCAGGAATATGGGCTGACTGCCTTGTCTTCTTCCTCGCTCTGCTGGCACTTGCAGCTCAGAAGAACTGTGATTATTTTTTTTTTCCTCATTTGCAGCTAGATGGTATTCTTAGTAAATCTGTCAAAAAGTTCTGCACAGAACTTGCTATATTTAGCCTGACACTTCACTTAAATACTCAATTAACTGCAATTTGATTTCACAACTTCTGTCTCTGTAGTTAGCAAGGTTGGCAAGTAATAACACACGACTGTGTAAACACATATTGGCGCATCAAGAAGCTCCGTTACCTACTGGTTTGCAACAGCCAGAGTGTCAATTTAGCAGAGCTTTATGCAAAATTAGGGACAAATCACAATTAAGCTTGCATCTCCATGATAATGTAAAGTTGAGTTACTAAACTTAATTGTAATTAGCAATTAACTCAAGTTACAACAGAGAGAATTTTGTCTACATAAAGCCCTGGCCTCTGTTCCCAGCGCTGTCGCCGATCCACTGGGGAGGTTACTTCAGCATCCTCAAGAGGACACCTACAGAACAAGGATAACGTTAATCTACCTTAAAAGCTCTTAAGTAGATTCAGTGTTTTGAGAAAGGCTGTAAACGTTAGTTACTATTAGAATTAAAATCATTCAAAAATCCCTTAAGCATTTCATGATACTTTAGCCGGTTGTTTGGGTAGCTCCAGAGCAATGCAGAGCCAGCTGCCAGCCAGCTCTGTGGCACACAGCATTCATGAGAACAGAACACAGTTTTTTTACCCTGTTTTAACATCCATGTCAATACCACCAAACACTTTCAATGTAGCAATTGTGTTCTCAGTGGGGGAAAAAAAAAAACACACACAGATATTTCGGATTATCCTCAGTGATCCTACAGGTCCAGTCGGACTAACAACCCCCATAGCTATCCAGAACACAGAATAAAAACTGGCTTCGGGTGATGATTTATTTATTGGGAGGAAAGGGGGGAAGGCAGGAAGGAGAAGAGAACATAACCAACTTGACATACAAAAGGTGATAGATGAGAAGTCTTAGCCTCACACTTCCTGCGTGACTTTGGGAGCAGAGAATTTCAGGGAATTTTTCGGTTTCTGCATCTGTGAACCACACACAGCATCGAGCTGTATCACAGGGCTGCAGTTCTGCCAATCTTCCTAACATTGCACAATTGCTGTCTCAGGTTGTAGAGAGCTGCCAACTGCCATGATGTCCGGGTACTTGACGGCACAAGGACAAAAGTTCTACTTGGTAAGGACGATTTTACCACCCTACCTTCCTGCTAACAGAGATGTCAGGTAGCAACTGCCTGAGAGCATTATCCTCATAGTTTATTTTAAGGTATCGTCCTGTGCTAATGACGATCCACATCTTCCTTATTCTGCCTTTGCAGACCCCATTGACAATTTTATTGAAACGGACTGCAGGAAAAGATTTAGACTTGTGAGATCACATGGAGCCTCTGTGAGATTACACAGAGGCCACTTCCCCTGCCTCTATGTAGCAAACGTAAGGTCAGATGTCACAGAATGCCTCTACAAGATGTAGGATGCCATATGATCTCCCTTAATATATTAGTAACCCAAATAGATTCAACAAATTGAGAATGTGTTCTTCAACCTCTTACCCAGGGTGGAACACTTCATCACTACAGGCTGTAGGATCACATCCCGTAGACTCTAGCTTTATCAGCCAGTTAAACCACCAGGAGATTTTCACACAGTTTTCCTTTAACACATTCCTCGCTCCCTCCTGTCCACTTTCACATGCCTGCTGTCACCGCCAAAGAGACGGCTTTGGCAGGAGAGGCACTTGTGAATCAAAGGCTCGCATTCCACTCAGGCTTAGCATTATCAGGAACAAGACAATCTGCACAACTGAGGGCTCAACAGCTGAGCAACTCCACCACTGCTCCCCTGGGGTCCTCTGGAAATTCAGGCACATTTAGAAATCTAGAAAATACTTAGGGCCTGGAAGGAGGGAGAGGAAAAAAAGGATATTGACACCCTGTTGATATATTTAAAAAGTCAAAATATTCCACTACACAACAACACTAGACACCCTCTGCTCCCACTGTGTGGGGACTGGATTTCTACAGCTCTGTCTCATCCAAAGAGGACATCAGAACCCAGTCACAGAGTAACAATAAACATTAATGGTGACTGAAATTACCCAGATTAAGGTCCTGCCAGGTTGTGAACTTGAGTGCAGAAGGCCAAGGGGATGCTTACCACCTCCGCTCTTATTCCAACTTACTTTCCAACTTACTTTCCAACTCTTATTCCAACTTACTTTCCTCGCTATCTCCACATCAACGCAGTGTCAGCTGCAACTGTTCTGGGGCAACCCCACCTGTTGAGGGCCAGACACCTCAGCCTGGCCACACACAACATCTTGCAATTGCCCTGAGAGAAACAAACATTAACAGTTCAGGCTGCCTCATAATTTTCCCAAGAAAACACGTAACAGTCTAATCATTCCCTGCAAGAAGTCGCTGGAGACACCAAACTTCAGCAACACGCAAGTGACAAACAAGGAACCGAGAAAGCACTGCCCAGCCTGAAGGAACTGTCATCGATACATGACCCTTTTCCTGTCATCAGACAGCTGACAACAAATGTGAGACCATTTCTGTGACAAGTGTCTCTACTGACGTGACAAAAAAAATGCCACAGTCACAGGAAGAGCAGAGAATTGTGTTTTCCTAGTGAGAACATCCCCATGCGAGTAAATCCTTACAACACATCTGCACAGAACAAGCTAACACTAGGGGATTATTTTCCAGGTGATCTAAAACTCAGGGAGCAGAGGATCCCTGCTGAAGCTGGAGTTACTTCCAGCCCATCTGGCCTTTGTGCATTTGAAAATCTACCCCGAAATGGCAGATAAACAGAACTGCTGACAGCACATATTTTCTCACATATGTATTCATAGGCTAACGTATCTGGATGTGCAGCTGTCTCCTGATTGTTTCCATCTGAGAAAGTAGAGATTTCTTTGTCCCCCCATTTCTCATTAGACAGCAATGAAGAAATCTGGAGCCTGTGAGCAGCGTGCCACTTCACTGGAGTCACCCCAGCCAACAGCAATGCACAAGATATTTTGCTGTTTGTTCTCAAGTTCACTGAAATTGCTTTATGCAAAGCTTCTTTTAATTTTGCATACTTCTGCATATGCAAAACTTTTATTTCTGTCCGGCAGCCTTATATAATTTCCAAGTTTACGATTCTAAGAACACACTGGAATTATTACCTTAAGGGCAAATCTTACAGTCGTGCAAAAAGAAGTCCAACACAAGAAAAGGGACTCCTGAAAGCATCAGTCCGAGGACTAACATATGGAAAGGGAGATAGTGGATAAAGAGGATATGATGACTGCACGCTGAAAAGAATGTTATTTATGGAAAGCACGCAGCATCTACCCTGAAAGAGCTCTCGCGCTGAGTCTAAACTGGAAGTTCCACTGAAAGACTAGTGGAACTGCAGGCAAATAAGAAACACATTTTTTGCTAGCATAAAAAAAAAAAAAGCAAGGCTGGATTTCTGCTTTGTTGTTTTTAAGTGGCAATAGTACAGATTAAAGTACCTTTAAGCAGATGTTTTAGCCTGAAAATCATTTTAATATTATATCAGCGAAGCTTCCCTTCTGTGGAATTAACCTTTTCTTGAAGCAGCCCCTTTTATTGAAGCATCCTACTCAGAAAGCCAGGTGCCTTACCGGGAGAAAAAGGCGCTGGGCAGCACATGGTTTGAATAACTTTTTCCATTCCTGAGCATTTCCTACTGAGAAGGTTATTGGATAAATGTTGTATTCAAACTTCTTTGTGTATGAGGAGGGCCATTCCTGTAACTAGAAGACATGAGGGGAGGAATTATACATGTTATATTGCTTTTCTTTTTTAATATGCATGTGTAAGGAATTTAGAAACCGCTTACAGTAACAAAGCACTTAGTTGCTACTTGTTGATGTCAGTGTAATTTTGCTCCAGGATTTGTAGCATGTAAGTGACTCGTGTATTTATTTACCAAATGAAAAAAAAAAAAAAGAAAGAAAACTCACCTTCTTCTCAAATTCAGGCTTAAGGGAATCCTCAGAAAAAATGTGAAAACAGAGCCTCCTGTTGCTGAAGAGAACTGCTGATTTCAGCATGATTAGCGTCTCCTCCAGCCGGTCCCCACATGCCACAACTGCCAGATGCATGCATTGTAGAGATGAAGGCTCTTTTGAATGTTTTTGTTCTCCAGGCTTCCTGAAAATTTGTAACAGACATATAAAAAAATACTAAGGTAATCAAGAAGATAATTTTGCATCAAGAGATGAGTTTTTTTTTTCTTCCTCTCCATGATGTAGGGGATCAGAGTTTTTTTTCTGATTAGACACTCACAGAACTTGCAAGTAGGAGGCCAGATTTTGCTAATCAGGACAAATCAGGAATCTTAAAATTACAACAAAAAGAAACACACTCTTCCCAGAAATTTATCTGTGATTTCCTGCATTTCTGCACTGGCATAAATCACAGCACTATATCCACACACAAAACTAATTCAATAGCACCTCAAAGCAGACAACAACAGCTTGCTAAGTGCAAATGATAGCTTTTCTTTCCAGCTTTGAGGTAACAAAGCCAGAATGGGCTTATTACTACCTAGGCAGCCTTCAAACACAGTGCAGGTTACAGAGCTATATCCAGTAATTTCATTCCAGGACCGTAACTTTTGGCTAGATTGGCACAGGACAACCAATCAGGAAATGAATAGATAAATAAATAAATCACCCATCCATATGCAAATTATTTTAACAGTTAATTAATCTGGCTTTTAAAAATGCATGCCTTAATCCTGGCCTGAAGGTACTGGCATAGTTTCAAAGGACTGCTCTCCATTTCACTGGATGGAATCCCTGAGATTTTACTAAAATACAGATTTTTTTAAAAACAAACACATTTATTTGTCCCAGTTGAATCCAACTGGATTCCGCAAGCAGGGTAAGGCCAAGCTAAGGGGTTTTTTACTTAACACCTGTCTGTGTGGACATTAGAGAAATTTCAGCCAGGAGAATCTGCATGTAAAAGGCACGTTCAGGCTCCTTGCTACTCAGAAAAATCAGAGTCCTTTTAGGGACCTGAAGACATTCTGAAAATGGGGCCTTTTGGTTGCATCCTCCCCCCTGCAGTCAGTACAGAGGTAAAATCACATCCTCCAGGATTGCTGCTACTGTACTGTATTCACATTCCAACACAGATTGCATTTATGCTCCATTAGATGGATTCATGGTGACAAAGGATCTAAATCACAAGCATCATAATCATTTGAGTAAAGTTCAAAAGGTTGATCATAGATCACTGCCAGCTCCTGACAGACCGCCGAGCACAGGACGTCAGCCCCTGCCTGCTCTCTGCACACAATTACATACATAAAATTAATCAGTAAAGTTAATACTATAAACAAAAGTTCTAAATAAAGAGAAAAATTACAGTTAATAAAGCTGTCATTATGTTTTTCCACACATTAAAGCACAGCTCAGTGTAGCAGCAGCGCTCTGTACCACGGGGTAATCCACTTCTGTGTTGAGGAATACCAGCCTGGCTAGACAAAGCAACATGTTTCATTAATGGTTTAAAGTCTTGGGCTTTAGTCTTAATTAAACCCCAATTTCATCAGCGTATAAATAATAGAACACTACATCTATGTGAAGTGGTATTTACTTACCAACCTATTAGTGTAAAAACCGCTGAATTATTAAAGTGAATAATTAGCTGCTCACACAGATCCCGCTTCCCCCCACGCTGCCCCCATCCCTTTAATGTTTCCTCTAATTGAGTCTCTAAATCAAGCCATATGCAGGATAAGAGCTGCTCTGATACAGCTTGTGGCAGTGGAAGTCGCTGGGAGAGGGACTAAAGCCTTTTTTGTGACATTTCTAAACCCTACACCGAAGCGCTATGACTTTTTGACGTTAGGCACAGCGAACTTATCGTTCTGCAGCTGTTTTGTATTGAGCTGTTTTGTGCTTCCAACAGACTCAGCAGAAGAAGCCCCTCGATGAAAGCAAACAGCCCCATGAGCCCAGGGGAGGCGTGGAAGAACACGAGGCATCCCGACTGCCAACACAGACACCATCCTGGCTCCAGAGCGGAGGAGAAACCTGGGCCTTGCAGTAATTATCAGTCACAAGGAGCTGGGCTGAAAGCATTCAGGAGCTTGCAATGGCCTAAGCAGGAATAAAAAGCCTGAGAAAAGGAGCAGGAGGTAGTGTTTGAGCTACCTCATTAGTAGTCTGGAACACCAAGGACAACAGTTAGCGAAGAAAGCTGCAATGAGGTGCAGAGGGATGTTGGGAGATGGCAAATAGCACACGATTTTGTCTATTTGTAAGTACATTAGGAAACCAAGAGGACTGTGAGAACAAAGTCCTCTCATCACCGTGCAGTTACTGCTGGGTGCCGCACACCGACTGGGCACCTCGAGTTTTCCCAACCTGCCTGCTCGGACGCTCCTAGACTCTACAACAAAATGGACAGAGCAAAGATGCACTCTTTGTTTCAAAGGATGCAGCACGTCAAATACTCCAGCAAACAGTACAGAGGATGCAATTTGTTACACAAAATAAAAATCAGCTGGCAAGCAAGCAAGAATACGTGGCTAGGTTCTGTACACTAAAGACACTCGTAGGCGTTGGAACCAGAGACGTCCTCGGACAGTGGCTGAGGGTGAGCGAGCACCATTTGGGGCTGTTTCAGTAACTCAGCCCCTGCAAAGCTGTGGGTGAGTCGTTAATTCCTCGTGCTTTAGCTGCTCTGCCTGTAAAAGCAGGAACGGTTGTTCCAGTGTTAATAGTTGCCTACCTCTAGAGAACTCCATACATATTAAAAGAAGCACACAGACCCACAGAGAACCATAATTATTGTTATTAGCAAATTCTTCCGAACATGCACACAGGCTTTCATTCATTTATAGTCCAACCCACTGGTTACAGGTACAGTCTATAATTGGACTTTATGGCCTAAATTAAACGTTTAAATGCATCTAACACAATACAGTGACCTGGTCCTTAAAATTTAAGGTTTGACCAGAACAAATAAAGGAATTACATACGCCAGGTCTTTGCTACCCCGCTCCCCATCTTCTAATTTCAGTACAGAAATTTAGTTTGTTGATATATTAGCAATCTAACTAATATTGTGTCAACCCCCCTGCTCTGTTCCCAGTTTTACCCATCTGTTCAGAGAAAACAGCTTCCTGCTTTCCCTTTCCTTCTGTTCCCCATTATTATGGCTTTAAAATTAAGCACTGCTGCCTAGGATTAAGCACTGCAGAAAGCCTAACAAAATACTAGCAGAATAGATCCCTGGGAAACAGCTGAAGCCAGACTTGGTAGGATGTAGCACGATAAAATACTTGTAGCAAAGGTCTCCCAGCACTACAGACCAGCTCCTACCCAGATGCCCGATGGCATTTTATTTACTGCATACATTTTTTCCTGACAGGCATGCTTGTTGACATCACAGAAGAAGCCTGAGTGCTCCAGCACAATAGCCTACATTTCTAGGCCTTAAAGTTTGGATTACATGCAATTTTCTTATTAGTCACAGCCAAAGTGTCTCAAACGTAATTAACCCAAAACCTGTCTAAATCAATCCAGATCCATTCAAAATAATGCATTCCCATCTCATTACGGAGCCTCCTAACCTATTCAAACCTTCAAATTTATTCCAGGGAGAAAGATAATGCATGCAGATTCTTACAAAATGCAATATAGTTGTTAGCTTTTGAAACCTTCTTCTTATTATGATCTCATTTACTCCCGCAGCATAAACAAGGTTAGATTTAGGCAATGTATCAAAACGTGATTCACTGGATGGGCTCCCTTCCTGTGCCTCAACGCTGAGCCAATGCCCCAACAGCGGCTCTGTTATACGAAACACCCTCTCACACTTTAAAATATAAACCAGAAAGGCTCAAACTGTTTAAAAATAAAGTTTTCTCACTTTAATGCAGTTGCACAAAACTGACTGTAGTTGCTGGCAATCAAAAAACTCTTGAAACCTCTTCCTACCACTCAGACAAATGGGGGAAAACACTCAAAAGCAGAACGGATGTTTGTATCTTCTGCTTTTATCAAGGGTGCTCTTTGTTAGAGAAGTGTGATTGGGGCCACCACTGCGGTATTATGGGCCATCAACCTCAAGCCAAACTTGCATGTGTGCACACAGGCTGCACACAGAGAAAAAGTGTCTTGACTGGTTGCCACATAAGAGATGTTTTGCTTTGGGAAAGTTACTTCCAGGGAAGCAAACATCCTGGCAGAGGCTCACTTCCCAAGCCTTGCCACGCTGGTTTAATAGAAAGTGTGGTCACATCTGCCCTTCGAATGTAAAATAACCCTTTTGCTTTTTGATGCTTTGCACACATTGGTCTGGCACGTATTCGTACTTATGCACAGGAAGAAAATCTTACTGAAGGCCTTCAACTTCTCACTTCCGAGACAAAGGATCAGTAAACCCCACCAAAACCAAGCTTTCCAAGCTACTCAGAAACTCAGATGTGATGCCCATCTCCAGACTTGCCAAAATCATCTAATGACTGAGGCAGCACACGTGCCCCTATTCCCTAATCCTTACCAGGCCCCAGCCAGCTGGGACTATGTGACTCGTAAAGCTCTTACCATGGATCACTACTTGCATCAGGAGAAATTTCTTCAAAACTGGAA